TTATAAAGATACACACATAAAATGTCAAAATAATAAATGGATATGTCTTTAACTGTGATATTGTAACCATTGGATATAACATAGTCATGGAGGTAAAAGAACGAATAGTGATGTAGTAGAAAAGAGTGAATATTAAATCAAAATATGAAATGGGACTCCATAATTAAAAATTCAAGGTGCTTGCTGATTTCATATGCCAACTCTTTATCATACATGTAACCACTCGCACTGCAAGAGGCTTCTTTGTATTATATCAGGTACCTTTATTTCATAATATAAAGATCATTAATTCTTTTCATAGTAAGTCTATTTTGCTTTAAAACACAAAATTGTCATTGAAATCGCATTTACTTAAGCAGCCACCAAAAAATATCATTCTTGTTAATCAGAACAGACATAAGTAATAAGTAGCGTTTATTTATGTGATTTGTTAGGAACACAAATGAGAGATCGCTGCTTTATTGTAGAATCTAAAATTAAAAAAGTTATGAAAGAAATATATTTATTGACCAAAAAATTCAAAATTAGAAACAAAATTTGTTGCTAGAGTGTAATATAAATCATTAAAAAAGCTCTCACTCAAAACCTTAAGGTTTTGGGTTGAATTGGTTCTTTGCATGATATCAGAGCTTGAGTGGCTACAAGGTCACAAGTTCGATCTTCACCACCCCACTTTAAAGTGGAATTAAATAAAAAAACACAAAAGAAGGTAAACCAAAAATTGGACCTGTGCAATATTCATACTTCTAGCTCAAAGGCTCTTGCGTGAGGGAGTGTGTTAGAATGTAATATAAATTGGTTCTTTGCAGAATAAAGATCATCAATATTACATAACTTCCACTTGAAAAAGGGTATTCTAATATATTATAGAATTGTAAATAATCTGTACAAAGGGTTCTCTATTTATAGAGAATATTTGACCTACTTTTAACCTAATGGGTTTGACCCAATACAACAAAGGGCTTGGCCCAATACAACAATAAATGACTAAATAAAAACTAAATAAAAACTAAATCAATATTATTTACAACACTCCCCCTCAAGCTGAGGAATAAATATTTATCATTCCCAGCTTGCTAGTAAGTTCTTGAAATCTGTCTGAAGGAAGCCCCTTTGTTAATAGATCAGCCAATTGACGCCCAATGGGAATGTATGGAGTGGTAATCAACCCGCTATCAAGTTTCTCTTTGATGAAATGGCGGTCAACCTCAATATGTTTAGTCCGATCATGTTGAACTGGATTATGAGCTATACAAATAGCGGACTTATTATCACATAGCAGCTTCATAGGTCCCTCACATTTTATTTTGAGATCATCAAGAACAATTTTCAGCCACAGTAACTCACAAATGCCTTGAGCCATAGCTCGAAATTCAGCTTCTGCACTTGATCTGGCAACCACATCTTGTTTCTTACTTCTCCATGTCACCAAGTTACCGCAAAGAAACATGCAATAACCAGTGGTAGAACGATGGTCAGTCACGGATCCAGCATAATCAGCATCTGTGTAGACTTCTAAAGATAGATTGCCATCACGTCGGAATAACAATCATTTACCAGGAGTACCTTTAAGATACTGAAGAATTCTCTCTACTGCCTGCATGTGTTTTTCTTTTGGATCGTGCATAAACTGACTGACAACACTAACAGCATAAGCTAGGTCTGGTCTAGTATGGGCCAGATATATCAATTTCCCAACTAGCCGTTGATATTGTCCTTTATCAACTGGAGGACTCTCTTCTTCATAGCCCATCTTGTGATTCTGCTCAATAGGAGTATTAGAGGGTTTACACCCGAGCTTTCCTGCTTCTTTGAGAAGATCAAGAACATATTTCCTCTGGCTGATAAAAATTCCTTTGCTTGAATGAGCTACTTCTATCCCTAGGAAATATCTCAGTTTCCCAAGGTCTTTGATTTCAAACTCAGAGGCAAGCCGTGTTTGCAGAATCTGTCTCTCCACAAAATCATCACCTGTGATAATAATATCATCAACATATACAAGGAGAATTGTAAGCTTCCCATTTTGGGAGTGCTTGAAGAAAAGAGTGTGATCTCCTTGGCTCTGTCTGTATCCTAAGGTCATCATAACCTTAGTAAATCTTCCAAACCAAGCACGAGGTGACTGCTTCAATCCATACAAGGCCTTTTTTAATCTACAAACTTTATTTTCCCCCTTCACAGAATCAAAACCAGGCAGGATTTCCATGTAGACTTCTTCTTCTAACTCACCATTGAGGAAAGCATTTTTCACATCAAATTGATTTATATCCCAATTGTAATGGGCAGCAAGGGATAACAAGATTCTCACTGTATTCATCTTTGCAACTGGAGCAAAGGTTTCTTCATAATCAATGCCATAGGTTTGAGTGTAACCTTTGGCCACTAATCGAGCCTTATATCTCTCAAGAGTGCCATCAGAATTATATTTCAGGGTATAAACCCATCTGCACCCTACTGCTTTCTTTCCGTTGGGTCTATCAATAACCTCCCATGTTTTATTTTTCTCCAAAGCATTCATCTCCTCTTGCATGGCTTGAGCCCAATTCCTATCTTTCAAGGCTTCATGTACTGATTTTGGGATTGCAATAGAATCTAGTGCTGAAACAAAGCTTTTGTGCTGCACAGAAAGATTAGCAGAGGAAACAAAGTGGGAGATAGGGTATTGAGTACAAGAGGGACAGGAGGAACAAGTTTTCTTGTGACAAGATCTTTTTCCTTTTCTAAGAGCAATAGGTAAGTCATCAGAAGTAGAAGCAATGGGTAAGTCATTAGAGATATCAGAAGAAATAGACAAATCATGAGAGGAAATAATATTAGAATCAGAAACAGGAGATTCAGAAGAAATAGGAGATTCAGGACTTACCAGTGGTTCAGACGATTGAGGTTGCTGGTGAGACAGTATGGGTTGTATCTCAGGTGTATTTGAAGGTTCTGACACACCAGGAGCAGACACACTAGGAAGAGAGAAGATTGATCCAGACTCAAAGAAGGAAGGGGACGAGTCTTCTGAAGAACTATTCTCCCCCTGACGATGAGGACCCAGGAAATAAGATTCAGATTCTTGAAAGGTGACATCCATAGAAACAAAAAATTTCCGACTTGGTGGATGATAACACTTGTACCCTTTTTTATAAGGGTTATAACCAAGGAAGACACACTTAAGAGCCCTAGGATCCAACTTACTCCGATGTTGTTTATGAACATGGACAAAGGCAACACATCCAAACACTCTTGGTGGAAGGCTCTGCAATATGGGAACAGAAGGAAAGAAGGAAGTCATGGAATGAATAGGACTGATATTGTTAAGGACCCGTGAAGGTAAACGGTTGATCAAAAAAGTTGCAGCTAATACTGCTTCTCCCCAATAAGAACTAGGAACATATGTCTGAAAAAGTAGTGCTCTAGCAACTTCAAGAAGGTGACGATTTTTCCTTTCAGCAACCCCGTTTTGTTGAGGGGTATCAACACATGTGAGCTCATGAATCATACCTCTGTCTGAAATGAATTGTGACAGGCGTTGATTGACGTACTCAGTACCATTATCAGATCTGAGTCTTTTAATACCCTTACCAAATTGAGTCTCAACCATGTGATGAAACCGAATAAATATCTCTGGTACTTCAGACTTGTCTTTCATCAAGTATATACATGTTATCCGAGTACAATCGTCAATAAAAGAAACAAACCACCTAGCACCTGAAACACTGTGCACTTTAGAAGGGCCCCAAACATCAGAATGGATAAGAGAAAAAGGTTCTCTGCTTTTAATAGTGCTAGAAGGAAATGACACTCGATGGTGTTTTGCAAATTCACAAACATCACAATGAAAGGTCTCAACCGACTTATTGAGAAACAGAGAGAGGAACATAGACTTCAAAAGACTAAATGGTGGATGCCCGAGACGCTTGTGATGGAGCCAAATCATAGACTCTGCAGTAGAAGGATGACGTGTCATTAATAACTGATTTTTGCTAGCATGGTCTGGAAGGAGATGATACAACCCATCCTGTTCATTAGCAACTCCAATTGTCTTCTTCGTGGTAAGATCCTAAATAAGACAATGAGAAGGAAAAAATGTGATAGAACAATTCAAATCAGTTGTAAGTTTTTGAGTGGAGATAAGATTAGTAGAAAGCTGAGGAGCATAAAGAACATTTTTAAGAAACAAGGAAGGTTGAATTTGAATGTTACCAGAACTAATAACTGATTTATGGGATCCATCAGCTACGGATATAGTATGACTACCAACAGTAGGATGATAAGAACAAAATAACTCAGTACGACAAGCCATATGATCAGTTGCACCAGAATCCAAAATCCATGAGGTTTTAAAATCAGTGCAAGAAGCAAGAAGAGATATAGAACGTGTGCTCTTACCAGATAAGATCGAAGAACTATCATGCTCAGCCATTCTTTAACAAAAAAAGTTAACAACCAGCGATAAAATCAACCAAACAGAATATCAAATGACCTCTGATCAGAAAAATAATTATAGATCCAGACAGAAGACAAGAAGACGAGAAGAATGGTGGTGGTCCGGTCCAAAAACACGGCCGCACGCGCCTCCACGCGTCGGAGAAAGGAGCTGCGGGTGGGATTCACTCGCCGGGAAAAGGGCGGCGCGTGAGAGCGCGTGGATGGGCTTCGCCGGCTGAGATTTTTCTGGTGTGGTCGTCCGGTGAGCGCACACCTGTCTGTGGGTGGTCGCGGTTGAAAAGTCGCCGGAAAGTGGTCCAAACGGTGAAGACAGATCTGATTGGAGGCGATCGGAGGTGTTTCGGTCGTTTGTGGCGGAGGAACACTGCGTAGAATGATAGATCGGAGGAAAAATAAGGTCAACAATGGTCCCCTTGGTCCAAAAGGTCCCCGGAAAATTTTTCCGGTGGCGGCTAATGGCGGCAAGAGGCAAAGAAATTAGGGTTTTGTTAAAAAAGAAGATAATATGTGCGGAAGCAAAGCCCTCAGATCGAGAGCTCTAATACCAACTTGAAAAAGGGTATTCTAATATATTATAGAATTGTAAATAATCTGTACAAAGGGTTCTCTATTTATAGAGAATATTTGACCTACTTTTAACCTAATGGGCTTGACCCAATACAACAAAGGGCTTGGCCCAATACAACAATAAATGACTAAATAAAAACTAAATAATAACTAAATCAATATTATTTACAACACTTCCTCGTCATATACCAGTAAGTTGTAAGTTGTAACTATCCTCTTCCGTCCCAAAAGATGAATATTCTGCAATAAGATCTCTTCCTTGGAAATCTCCACCTCAAAATATTAAGCAATCTTTGCAATGACCGTAGAGTTCAATGCTTTTACCCATATGTACAAACTGCATACAACAGGATAAACACCATTAGTTATATTCATAGTAAGTCTGATTAGTTAAAAAAAAATACCATTAAAATAATACTCACTATAAAGAAAAGAAGATCAAATGTAAATTTTGTCAGATGGCATCTCGAGATCCTCCGGGAGACAATCAGGTATTGAAGTGTCATTTGACGAAATTTATAAAACGACCACAGCCTGCAAAATAAATACATGAGGATATGAGCAATTTAATAAGCGCTTAACATTTCTGCAGCTGCTGTACCTACAGCAAGCAAGATCCGTGTCCGGATCTTAGGATACGGCAACGGATCCTGAGTTTTTTTCAGGATCCGTTGCCATATCCTAGGATTCGGACGCGGATCCTTGCTTGCTGTAGGTACAGCAGCTGCAGAAATCATTTTGCCATTTAATAAATTGACGAAACACACATATTCAGCATTGTTGCCTTCATTTCTAGCTCCAAAGTGGATGCTAGAATACCCCACATAACCGAACTTTACTATCTCATCTTCAATGTGTCAAAAATCAGCCAAAAAGAAAATTAATTTACCAATAATACTATTATAATAAAAAATGTGGCCCAATACCAAACACATCATCTATTTCAAGGCACAAGTGATCTAGAGGACAAAATTTAAAAAGACTCAACAAAATTTTCTGCAGGTACTTACTTGTTCACGAGCCCACAAAAGAGAAAATGGAGTTGTTATCAAGAGCCGCACATTTTAATGACTGTGTAACCCAAACTGCATATATCAATAGCAAATTCTTGACTGCAGTTGTTATCTCTTCAGCTCCAATGGAAAACCTGTTTGAAATGGTATCCACAAGAAATGCTATGAGACATCAGACTAATGTAGAATAAAAAATATGCCTCTGTATCGATCCAGGTTGAAGTTACCTCCGTGTAGAGTTCAGTTACAAATCCAGCTAGTTGTTGAACAGAGAAATCCCAATTTACTATAGCTGAATATAAAGACAGACAACACTAATATCAAATCCAACAATACTATTATGGCCACAAATATCCGAATTAAGTTTGCAAGGAACACCTTATCTCATCCTCGAGCCATAAAAGTTTTCTAACTAGAGAAATTGAATCACTTTTAGCTAAATAAAATGAAATGAATAATCAATTATTTTGAAAGAACTTTCTATACACATGCACAATTAAATTTTGTCTAAGGAGTTGCAAATAATTGCATATTTCAAAAAATAGAAAGGAATTCACAGAACAATAATTTGAGCTTTTTATTTTGTAACCTTGTACTTCTTCTGACAGTGATTGCTTCTCCACAAATCTTTCAACACTGAAAGAAAAATATAAAATTCGAATAATAAATTTAGTGAAATCACCGACTTCTTTATGGAGTGTGAATAATAAAACTCTCTATTAGACTGGACATGAAGTTTAAGAGCTTACATGATTTGCACACCAAAGCTAGCAAGCATGTCATGTCCAGCAAAATCGACAAGCAATTCAGCCACTTTGATATCCCTACACGCAAACACAAAAACAAAGAAATAAACATGCAACAAAAGAGTCAAAACCCATACTAAATCAACAATTTTTTCCCAAAAGAAAATAAAAATAGTCCACAAAATAGTATTTGTTTGAAAGATACAAAACTTTGATGGACTTCAGCCGTATTGAACACATGGAAGGACATATTCTGTTCAAACACCAGTATTTGATATTGAATAAAGCATAAGCAAATTTCAAGATTGGGAACGAGTTGAAACACCAAATTTGCAGTATGCAGTACATACTGTTCGACATAAAGAATTGCTAAGTTATAAATGCCATTTGGTCTTCAAGTTAACAAGCAGATGTAGGACTAAGAGCTTGATTAATATTTTTTTTATTAATTTGGGTACAGAGCTTGATAGGATATGGAGTATTTCTCATTCCACCAAAGACAAGAGGAAACTTTTGTAATTTTCTGCAACACTAGAAAATACTGCAGAAATAATGTACCAGAGCTTACAATGCAAAACAGACCTCGGCAGCTGCTATCATTGGTAAGGAAGGAATCTATTAAATGAATGCTGCATCATTTCTTTGGTATAATAATAATCTGAGCTGGTAATCAGCACAATTATTTTGACAGCCTGTTTCATGAAGAAAACTATGTAAGGAGTAGAAACACATCCGATGATATGCAATGACAACACATTACAGGAAATACCTTCTGATCCAAAAGTGGTAAAGGTAGTACACTTTCAGGTTCCAGAAGCTGTTCAGGCTTGAAATAATCTTACTCCGCAGTCAACATAAATTCACTGTGTTTTTTGGTGAGCATAAAGCACCGCAAAGACACTGCATTGGACAAAGACAAGAACTTGAATGCGTTCACCTTAAGAGAGGTTTTCCAACAGCCAGAAAGTCATGCACATGGTAAAGAAAAGAACATCTCTAATCAAATATAATGTTCACAAAATATTAGCAATATATCAAATATAATTTAAAGCAAGTAGTTGTGATGCTGATTCCTTGGCCAGGAATCTTTCAACCCCCAATAAAAGATATGACAGCAAAATGTAAACATTATATTTAATTTAAAGCAAGTAATTGCTTTAATTTTTATTTTATTTTTTGGTAGAAGAAGTGCATTAATTAAAAACTAATAAATTATAAATGTTATTAGCACCACATATGTAAAATTTATTAAAATAGATTTTGTTGAAGCAACAAAACTTGATGCAGTCTTGCTTTATTAATCCAGGATGAACACATTCTGTTAAAGTTTGCAAATGCATTTGTTGATGAAATAGATACAGAAAACAAAAAGATAAATCCATTAGAAATGTGAAGCAACTACCGACATGAAGCATATCGAAGAGGTGAATGAAATTGAGACATCATCACGGGAAGACATGTGCATCACAATTACCTGTTGAGAATCACACGTCACGAAATCCATTTGTAATTAACTTGAATGCAGGGGATGTGGGAAATTTTGGGCCAAATTAGCGGGTGCTTTGTATTGCACCGTTCTTCCAACAAAGGACATCCTTCGATTTCGAGTTTTATGAGAGAGGGAGGCAGCCTTTCCCCCGCCATATTCTCCAGCTTGGGACACTGACCAATTTCTAATGTTTGGAGAGAGGTGAGGTGGAGAAGCTCCTTGCAGTTCAACGTCTCCATATTCTCAAAATCCCACAGTGTCAGAGTGGTAAGCGAGGGAAGCTGAGGCAGAGAACCCTCCTTCGGGAATGACTTGGCACTCTCACGTGATGAAATCCAAAGAAAAGTGAGACCCTGATGCATGCCCATCGACGATATGCAGCTCAATAGTTTCTCGCATTTGGAGATATGAAGACTTGTCAAGTTAGGCGGCAGACCCCCTTCCGGAAACGAATCAATTTCTGGGCAACTTCTTATATTCAGTTGTTCTAACTTTGGGAGAAGAGTATTCATGTGACATGGCAATGACTTCAACTTGTTGCAATCGGAGAGACTGAAATAAGTCATGCTGGGACATCCACTGATGTGGAGACTTTGAAGAGCATCATTAACCGGTGACTGTGACACTGCAAGAGATTCCATATTTTCACACTTTTCAATTGCCACACGCTTGAGATTAGGAAAGGTCTCCAATGGGAAGCATGTGACTGAATCGCAACTGTTTTCCATTCTCAGTGATTCTAGCAACTCGTGTTGCTTTGGAAATTCTAGTTTTTCACAGTTCAGTAATCCAAGGTTTTTCAAACATTCCGGTAAACAATCTCCAGGAAATGATAACGCAGAGGAACAATCTGAGATGCTCAAAGAATGAAGACAAGTTGGTTGGGTGACGGTGATAGCTTCAAACATGGACTCCACCACCGGCTTTGATCCTCCTATTGATAGAGACTGCAGTGATATCGGTAACACTTGCAACATTATTTTATTGCTTTTAGATATCTCTATTCTCTGAATTGCAGGAGCACTTGGGAGAGAAGAAATAAGCTGCTCGCATCTATAAATCCCGAGTGTTTTCAAAGCAGGGAGGTGATGAGGCAGGTCTCCACTTAAGTTGGGACAATCCTCTATTGTAAGCTCCTCAAGTTTATGAAAGGCATCTGGTTCTGAGGAACACCACTTCTCCCAACATGACATTCTACAAAATGACAAATACTCCAGTGACGGAAAAGGTGTTTCCAAAGAACAATGATCACTCTCACTCTTGTAAAACTCGGCACCAATAGTCTCCAGCCCACTAAAATCTCCAATATTCAAGGACTTTAGACAAGGTAGCTGTCCAAGTGAAGGGAGCATACAACAATTGCTACAAGAAACAACACTTAGATCAGTCATGTTGTGGTAGGAAGAATGCCCTACCCAATCCGGAAATCTTGTACCCCTGTACCCATAGATGCTGAGCCCTTCCAAGCCTTTGTGAGGTTGTAACTTGTCAAATATTTCTCTTTCGGTGTGCGTCGAGGCTGTAACCATATCACCTACTGAAGACCACTCCAAGATCAAATTTTCAATGTGGGTCTTATCCATTATCCTTGCTTCCCTTGCTTCACCAATACTGGCAACGTTCTCCAATTGGCCAATACATAGTTCTCCATGAAGATTTGAAAGTTCTCCCAATTCCTTTATCCCATTCTCTTCATGCACGCCCACAACAAAGTCACTTAAAAGCTGCAAATGTTTTAATTTGCTTATTCCCCGAGGCATCTCTTTTAAAACAGTTCCACTAATATCAAGATGTCGCAGGTTCACAAGATTCTGCATGTCACTTGGTAGCATGGTCAGACGATGACAACCACGCAGCTTCAACGTCTGCATATTGAACAAATTACTGAATGATTCTGGAAATGCTTTGATACTTGTGAAAGAGAGATCCAAGTAACGCAGATGGATCAATTCACCTATTGAATCAGGCAACGCTTCAAGTTCCTCATAGTCAGAAAATGACAAAACTCTTAAGTACTTTAACTTCGATAGGATGATCAATGCTGTGCTTTCCAAGCTGAACGAAGGAGTTGAGAAATTGATTGGCAGAAAAGTCCTCAAAGATATTAATGTATCAATGGCAACAAAATTGTTCGAGATCGGATGGCTCCACCTTGCATATGACAAATGACGAGTGTGAATTTTAATCTTGTCTTCTTTCCCAAGATCTTCTGACATAATATAGAAGTCTCCCGCAACCGATATTGCCAAGTCATGCAGGAGATCATGGATCACAAAACGTTGGCTAGAAGTTCCAACCTGTTTGAAAAATGATCTAGAAGCTAAATCATCGAAGCATTCAGAACCAACTTCTTCTAATATCTCCCCTTTCTTTGATGGCCGTAAAAGATCTTCTGCCATCCATAATAAGATTAATTCACCTTTACGAAATCTATAATCCTTGGGATACAATGAACAATAAGCAAAACAACGCTTTAAATGTGGAGGGAGATGGTAATAGCTTATTCTCAATGCTGGAATAATTTTACTATCATCTGTGGAAAATTCCCAAATTTCACTCTTCAATATAGAATTCCAATTGATGACATCATGTTTTGTTTGCAAGAGACCACCAAGGGTTTCTGCAGCTAAAGGTAATCCCTTACACCTCTTAACAATCTCTCTGCCATTTTTTTCAAGAGTTGAGTCACCATTAGATTCTGGGAAACGTGCATTCTTTGCAAACACCGACCAACAATGCTCATCAGACAACTCGTGCAGATGGTAAGGTGGACAAGTTTGGACAGTTGAAGCAACCTTTGCACTACGTGTTGTTACAAGAATTTTACTTCCCATAATTCCGCATTGAAAAGGTGCTTTAAGACTATTCCAACCATGATGATCAATATTCCAAACATCGTCCAAAACAATAAAGAATTTCTTTCCCGACAACTTTTCCTTCAGATCAAGTTGAAGTAAATTTAAATTCTTCATGTTGCAAGGACTACGAGTAAGTTCCTCTATTATAGTCTTTGTAATATTAAGAATATCAGATTCTTCAGACACACAAACCCATGCTTTCAAATGAAACCCCTTCATCAAATTCTCATCACTGAACACCCATTGGGCTAAAGTGGTCTTTCCAACCCCACCCATGCCCACAATAGGGATCACAGACACTTTCTCTTCACTACTGTCATTTAATATTTTGATCATGGTTTCTTGGTCGTTTTCCCTTCCATATATATTCCCTTTTACTAGAGATGTTGATGGAGTTCTCCAAGACAAGTTCTCTCCGGGAATATCTTTCAGACCAAGAATATCTTTGTATTTTAAGATATTTTCTAGCCTGCTAGTGATGTTTTCAATCTCATTAACCAACTTCCTATCTCGCAAATTGAGAAATCGAGACAGAAAGTTACTCACCTCCTTTTGAGTGGCAGCTTCAGTAGAAACTTGGTCCAGCAAATCATCTGCCACATAAACAGCATCTTTGAGATCATCGAGCCACTTCTTCACAGCGGGATCATAGAATTGTTTATGCTCAGCATCATTAAGCACAGCCTGAACCGCATAAAGGGTAGTCTCCAATCTTTGAAGCAACTTGCTGTCAAGCTTCTTGCCTCGGATGAAGTTAGCAACCTCAGGTGAAGAGATCCTGTCGAAAACAACATTAATAAAACCAGAGAGAAAAGCTCCACCCACCAGAGCACCCGCCATAATATCAAGAATAGGTGATCAGACAGAAGGAGAGAAAAAGAAAGGAATTGGGTTGTAGGCTCTGCAGTAAACTCTGTTCTGTATAAAGTGTATGTTGCATACAGAGGTTCTCAGCAGTAGTCATTGACTTCACATGCTCACAGTCACTGTGTCAACCAGATACATTAAAATATTCGCCAAGGGTGGAAGTGGAATTGCATGCCAGCTCTGCATTATGCATTTTTAAGTATTGCGTTAAAAACGCTCCCACATAAATTTAAGACTAGACTCGTGCAAAGTTTCAAACACCATATATTTAGGCCCAGACACTGTTAAGAAGCCAATAATTGAGATGCTTGTTTGAAAGATGCGACGTAAATTAGACAATTCTTCAAAAGTTTCAACTTTTGTATTTTGTATGACCCACCACACCCCATTGTGGTTATTCTATGAGATCAGAATATACTGCAGCATATCCCAATACCATTTCATGTCAATCTGTTTCCACAATTTTACAAAAAAAAAAAAAAATCAGCAATATTTATTGGCATGTGTATTTTTATTTTTATTTTACCAAAAGAAGAAAAAAACAACAACATAACAACTTAAGGTAAGTTATCACCTCAAACAACTGGAATAATGTTCTTGAAACCGAGAGCCAAGAGCAACCGATTATCAATATGCCGATTAGAATTACAGCAACATTTTCACACGAATTATGATATCAACCAAGTGAGTTAATGAACTCTTCCTTTAATTGATTTGTTAGGTCAACCAATTAATATGATATCATTAGTAAAGAAAAATGTACAAAAGAATAAAATCTATATATATATATATATATATATATATATATATATATATATATATTCTAAAGTTAAACTATTTGTTGGCAAGTTTGCTGACGTGTCCTCTTCTTACGCAATCTAAGCTTTGTATTCACACTATTTCATTTTGAATTTTTTCTTCTTTTAGAAACTTTTTGAATTATTTTTAATTAAATAAAAATTAAAATTGTTATTAATTTCGAATTATTTAATATTAAATTTGTTATTAATTCATTTTTGTGAAAAGAGTGCACCTTTTATTATGGTTCAGATTTTGAATACAACAAAATCTCATTACCTTTTGTCTTGGACTTATTCATTTTGCTGTTTTCAATAAAGACATTTATTCCATTCAATGGAGCTTCTCAAATAACGCATTGGGTGTTTGTATAAATTGAGAAGTGTTGTTTCTTTTTTTGTTTGGGTTGGCTGGTTTTTTTTTCTGTATTGGTGTGTGTTGGGTTGTTCTATTGGTATTATTTTCGGTTTCTTGATGAACAAACGTGGTTCTGATGACGTATTTTTTGGAGGGTTATCTTTTGGAGCTTCTTCAATGTTGAAGAACAAGTGAATTTAGAATATGAACCACTTCTTTTGAATGTGTTGTTTTATTGGTTTAATTTTTGGTTTCTTTTTTAGCAAACGTTGGCAATTCATTTTCATTTTTTTATACTGATTCTAATTTCTTCATTTTGTAGGGCGGAAGGTTTGTGTTATGTGAACTGTTATTTACGTATTCAGCGTTCAAGGGAGAATCTATCGCTGTGATGTGAAAGGTTCAATTTATTTATGGTTGCATCAATTCAATAGGGTTTGTGATTTTTTTTGTCGCATTACTGATGACAAAATTGCTATGGCATCTTTTTGAGAACATTGTTTTGTAGGGAAGCAAGCAATGGAAACCGTAGCAGTTTGATGGCAGAGAGAGCACCTTCCATAGCTGAAGAATTCCAGAGAGTTGCAGAGGAGAAAGCCAGGGAAGCCAAGAAAGAGGGTACTATTGGTGACTCTAAGGTTAAGTGCCTGTTTGGATCCTCTTATTTTTAAGCTAGAAGCTACTTATAAGCATAAGCTAGGCCAAACAGATTTTGGGAAAAGCTCTTATAACGAAAAGCTCTTTTTTTTATAATGAAGAAAAAAGCTGAAAATTAAAAGCTCCTAGGAGGAGCTTTTTTTTAAGCTCTTATCTGTTTTTCTTGAATTGTGTGCTTTTTTTTAAATGAAGAGTGATAAAGATAGAGAGAAAGATAATTTTCTTGAAATATGTGCTTTTAAGTAATTTTTAAGCTAAAACTTTTATGTAATTTCTAAACAGCTTTTAGCTTATTTTTTTAAGCTCTTTTTTTTAGCTTTAGCTTATAAGTAGCTTCTAGCTTAAAAATAAGAGGATCCAAACATGCTCTAAATCAATCAAGAACAGGTACAAATACCATGAACCTGAGGCTGATTATAATAGAAGGGGTGATTAGGAACCTACTTTATGAACTATGAAATATCTATCTGTATGTGCATCCAGAATAAGGTTGTCTTATTTTCCAATAATTTCTTTGTGAGTGTTTCTGCAGCAAAAGAAACCAAATAATTAAAGGGATTGCATCTTCTCAAGCGGCACAAGAAGAGACTTTTTTGCTGCTGATACAATTAAATGGGTCCCACTAATTTAAAAGAAAAAAAAAGAATGAAATGAAATATTGGCACACACATCGATCTCTCGTTAGCGGGAGAACGTGAATCAGAAGACTTATTTTGCCCATAATTAAAAGGGTTTTAAGTATGTCATGTCACAGAAAATTAGCAAGGTCATGTTATTAATACAAAAATTAGTGGAGCCCACCATTAATTTTTAACAAAATAAAATAAAACATAACAACACGAATTTCGAAGTGTCTGTAGGAAACTAAAAAGTTTTCCTATTACATAACACTTATTTTCCCCTAATTAAAACCTTCAGTGTTTATTTGAATGGAGGATATTAGGTCTGCTCATTGCACCTTAAAACTGTTATGAATTTCATTAGTCTTTTGAATGGAGGATATTAGGTCTGCTCATTGTAATATTAGGTCTGCTCATTGCACCTTAAAACTGTTATGAATTTCATTAGACGTGTTGATAAATGGAGGATATTATTATCATTAATTTGGTGTTATGTGTAATGTGTTATGTCATTCATGACGCATGAGTATATGTTGTATAATTGAGTTGCTGGTGGGCATAAATAAAACAACCAAACACATCAGAGTAGAATCTGCAATTTTGTATTTAAAATGGTTTGCGTTTTCTTTGTGTCAAAAGAAGGAGAAATGCAATTTCATGTGAACAATTTAAAAAAAAAATTTAATTTTTTTTAAAAAAACAATTTAAAAAATATGTATAGTTGATTAAAAAATGATTTAAATTCGAAATTTAAATAAAAAAAATAAGAAATGCATATCTATCTCTAATACCAAAGGAAAATCATTATTTGGCAAGTTTGTTGGCGTGTCGCTATGTCCTTCAATATCCACTTTGTGTTCACACTACAAATCACTTTAATTTTTTCCACTTTTTGAAATATTTTAAATTTGAATTTTTCATTTGATAGGTGGGAAAAGAGTTCAGCATTCATTACAAAATATTTCACTTTTTAAATTTGAATTTTGAAATTTAATCTTGATGTGTGGAAAAATAGTTCATCATTCATTACAAATATAAAATTACAATCCTATTAATATTTCACTACTTTTTCAAAATTCGAATTTTAAATATGATATAGGTGGGAAAAGAGTTTAATATTGTTTAGTGGCAAACAGCTGCATTAATATCCCACTACTTTTTGCATTGGTAATTGTTAAGCCTATTAATAACACCATTAATTTCTGCATCGAAAATAAAATTGATTAATGATAATAAAATCCCTCATGAATACAATTGATTAGTGATGAACGTTTGAATAAAGTTAATAATGACTTGAAGTCAATCCTTGCACTTTACTCCTTTCAGAAAAACGATCCAACTTCGATGAAAGTTATTAATTTTGGTACACATTATTTTCAATCTTTGCTTTACCCCTCTCTCTCTCTCTCTCTCTCTCTCTCTCTCTCTCTCTCTCTCTCTCTCTATATATATATATATATATATATATATATATATCAATACTAACTACTTATTTGAAATGAGTGTCTATGATATTCTCATAATATGATTTAAATTATTGCGGGAAATAATATATGGTGGGAGACTACGGTATTAAATTTCTATTATTTTCTACATAAGATTTTTTAACCTTCATTTTAAAAAACATTGAATGTTTTTTTCATAATTATAAAAAAATCAAAAGACCCCAAGAAATTTCTGAAGTATTTTCTACATGGAAATTGTTAACCCTCATATTAAAAAACAATGAATGCTTTTTCTCATAATTATCAAAAAATCAAAAGACCCGAAGAAATTTCTGAAGTTATATATATATATATATATATATATATATATATACATATATATCGTACAAGTTTTTTTAAAATAACCGTCTTAAATATATATGTATAATCAATATAAAAATTATAAATTAAAAGATAAAATTATTTTGTCAAAATATATGTATAATTAATAAAAAATAATTGAATACCAAAAGAAAAATAAAAAAATTCAAAAAAGTTATTTAAATAAAAATATTACATCTATCATTCTGTAAAAAATAATTATAAAAAATTTTCACTATAAAAATGAATCACTATTCAGTAACAATCCAACTCTTGCATAGTAAAAAGATATAAGTCATTAAATATTTTACAGATTATTTTAAAGTTTCTCACTACTTTCTATCAGGAAAATTATTAAGTCTATTAATAGTGTTTAATTGGTTATTATTATGTCTATTGGGTAGAAAAATATTTAATATTTAAATTAAAACTATTTAAATTTGATGGGTAGCAAAAGAGTTCAGCATTTAATGTTTTTATAGTGAAAAAAAGGGAGTGGATCTTCTCATGTGAAAAAGTGGTCATGTGGTCATGTTATTTGATCACAACCACTCATTTAAAAGTTATATACTTTTCTCTCTTATCTCATCATCAATGAGTGGTTGTGATCAAATAACATGACCACTTTTTCATATGAGAGGATCCACTTTCGAAAAAAACACATATATAATATATTTAAATATAATATAAAACTATAAAAATATATGCCGATTGATAAAAAAAATAATTGAAATTTGAAATTTAACTGCAAAAAATAAGAATGACTTATTTATACTTTAAAAGAAAATAAATTAAAATTTTAACTTAAAAAATAATACACAAAGAGGAAAAAAATTC